CCTTCTTTGAACAGTTCAAGAGATTTATTTATCCTTGGAATGTACACATAGTGTAAAGCAAACATATGCTGTTCATTTGTGATATCAAGCAGGTCATATTGTTCCATAAAATAAAAAAGTCTATAGTACAAACTTGTAACACACTTATGCATGTCTCTCCATAGGCGTTCTATCCTCTGATTATGTACGGAGGATCCAACAATCGCACTCTGTCTACCAGCACCCCGATGCTCCAACATATGTTCCACCACCAAAATGTTCTCCATGCCTTGGTCTGTCCTCACCCTAGAAGGTAAGTGATACTTGTTAACAGCCTCAAGAAAGCTCTGATAAACAGTAATAGACTTGATGTTAGATGCACATCTGAGAAAAACAATCAACCTGCTGAAGCCATCAATGCCTCCATGTGTTACTAGTCTCCATCTGATAAGCTTATGATGTGAATCTGAAATAAAATATATTTAACTAAATGTATATGTGACCATAATTGACAAAAGGGCCCTTATGGCGGATTTTAAAATTGATCTTAATAATGGCAAATATCAACCTGTGAGTGCTTTGTTCGACAATCATTGTTTCTAAAAGTTTCATGGTAACTTTTTGCATCCTGTGGAGTAATTTTATGATAAATGGGGCTCAGGAAGTTGGATTTCTTAGGCTAGAAAGACAAATTTCACTACCCGCCATAAGGTACCTTTTGTCAATTATGGTCACATATTATCACCTAATTAATTTTATGCCATACTAATAAAATGTAATTTCATTCCCTTCCAATGCTAATATTATCACAAGCTTACCAATATGCCAGAGTGAATTAGGTCCAGGAACACTGTACATACATCGGCGAATTAATCCACCTGGCCATCTAATAGAAGCTCTCAAGGGATCACTTTCTTGTAACGCATCTCTGACACGAGCTCTAGTGACTTTGAACCCTCTTGCGCGAAGGAGGCCAACAGCCATAGACACACCAACATTAGGGTCACTTTCCTTAAACTCAATTATTAATGAACGAAGCTCTTGATTAGATATGTCAGGATTTAAATCTAACATTCCAAATTCAGCTCTCCTCCTAATAAGACAGAAATTATTATTATTATTATTATTATTATGTGTAACTGTGGTATCATTCCAAATTATTACAAAAAATGGTGGCACTTCAAAACAGTTCATGAAACTTTGACCTCGCGAAATCCTGCAAATTTATCATTTGTGAAAATTTTCGCGTATAGGGTACATCAAGCTTTTTACACATGCTAGCACATAATGTAATTAAAGTTCATCATTGATGGCATAAATAATAACAATACTGGATAATAACTTATGTGTATATACCTGTATAATGTCATTCTTGATATACACAACAAGGCAGCTATCTCAGTCCACTGAAATGAAAGTGAAACTAGGTACTCCACTTGTTCTCTAGACACATCAAACTTTGGACGTTCACGTCTACCAGTGTGTGCAATGGAAGCTTGATACGATACCGTAGCATTGTTTCTGGCAGAGCTACATTCTAGTACTGTAATATAATTATTCCACTTATCCAAAGATTCTCGTAAATAAGAGAGCAATTGGTCTACCAGCGTTCTATATTCATTAGCAACAGCAAGTTCTTCATTAGAAAGAGCCGATACATCAGACGTCTGAAACAACATTCAGTACTAAATTAGAACAGCTGTGAATTGATAGCTAGATCCTTTCCACTACATACTCCGCCAAGTTAAGGTTACAGATACCTAGATTTCTCTCAGCTGTTGTTAATAGTTGATATAGCTCTGTAAAGAACGACACCCAAGCTTCCACTGCTGCCATATGCCATTAAACTATAGTCACACCCAGCCCTCTGTGAGTGGGTGTTAACTTAAGCAAACTTATTTACATACAAACTCTATCTTTTCTAGACTCATTATAACTTTAATAAAATTTCCTCTTTGAATAATTATGATTAAAATAATGATTTAAGTGACTTAACTGAAAGTAATGATAATAATGTAAGTTACTAATAAGAGTAACAGTTAATAGAGTCTTACAATGAATCCATAGACCATGTCCATTCTTCTTGAATGTTATTGAGGATTGCATCCCATTCTACTTCAAACTCTTGATAGTTATTGTAATGCAAAGGTAGTTCCAAAGTACTGCCACAAGTGTGGGCAAATGGAGAATACCCATATGTGAAAATAACAAACAGCTTGTCAGTAATGAAAACAGAGCTACCAGTCCAGAACCGAAGAAAATTACGCAGTGAATTAATCTTCATACTTTCTATCATACGAATCAGGTAGTTATAAATCCTTTGTTCGGCTTCATTCCTAAATTCACATTCTTGTACTGCATCCAGAAACTTCTCAGCTGATACGGATAACAAGCGATAA